GGCGGATCGCTGCTGATCGGGAGGGGTGACGATACCCACCGAGCCCGCCAGCACGCAGAGACCAGCGGGTAAAGAGGCACGGTCAGCGGCACAGACGTTTGGGAGGAAGATCCCATTTTAGCCGGTGGGCGCTCAATATTCAATTTACACCACCGACGTCCTATTCATGTTATTGGATAATAAGGATATTGCAAGAGCATGTGAGCAACTTTTAAAATCTGATAAAAAAAACCAAATGGAGCAACTTTACTACTTGAAAATTATAACAGCTAACATTGCTAAAAATTAAAACAGCAGCCAAGATGCTGTAACTGGTGGGGACACTACCAGGATAACAATTAGCGTAAATAATACCCAGCGCGAGCCATAGCCTCATATCTGACACTGTGGCCACGGCAGAAAGGCCAGTGTCACATAGTTTTCGCTATATGGAGCTGGAACAGACCAGCGGTATCAGGCATCCCACGCCACTTTGACTTTACAGTTCACTTTGCATTAGTCATAAATAACCTCCAACCAGTCTTGAATAATACCCTAAAACATACAAAAATAATATACACTAAACTAAACTGACATGACTTTAAAACTGTAAAATACATATTTGTGATTCTGATCATTATTATTACACATGACACCAGCTGATTAACCCTCGCCGGACCTATTGATTTTTACAAACGCGCCGGCCGAGGGGGACGACCCCCCCCCCCTCGCCGTTTCGCCCCTGATGAAGCTAGAGCGTCGCGGAAAAACGAGCGTGTGCGCCGTTACAAGACGCAACGACTGGTACCCGATTTAAAGGTCTCAGGTCAACCGGTGACCTCTGAGGTCAGGTCAAGTGACTAAAGATACGGATTCCGTTTTTCATTTTTAAAAAATCGCAACAAAATGTTGCAGAGCCGCGAATTTGGCATAATCGTGTTTGCCTCGCTCAAGCGCGTCGAATGGCGCGTCTTTTTGTTCGGTTGAGGTCAACCTGAGGTGTTGGCCTCGGGTCAAGGTCAGGTCAGCGCCCCCAGGTCACGAAGTTGGTCGAAGGAGGTCATGTTGCATATCAATCGATTCGGCAGGGCTTCCCGAATCCCGAGTTCATTGAAGGCTTTCGCGACTCGCTAGCTCAATTTCGTCGGGAATTATTGACGAAAAACTCTTAAGACTCTGTTGACGTCATTACGCAAGGTCAACAATGCAAAAGTGAAGCACTGGACCCTGCAAAGAGGTCCAATGCTTCACTTTCTACCACTAGGCCATCCACTAGGCCACGTCTCCCCGTGGCCTAGTGGATAAGGCGTCCGTCTCCTAACTCGGTGGCAGCGAGTTCGCGGCCGGGAAGCTCCACGTCGTTTGACCCGCGTTCCTATATTAAGCCAGCTGGCAACTGGTGAGAGAGGGCCACGCTAGACCCGGGAGGACCGTGCCGCCATCTACCTGCGGCACGTTAAACTTTCGATCCAAATTATCACCGGTGAGCCGGGCGCGGGCAAGGCGGGGTGGCGGGTCCGTGGTGTCATTCGCAACAAGCACTGCTTAGCGGGGCACCCGGGCCCATAGCCACCCATTCATCCATTCAGACAAAATTTCTAAAAAAAAGTGCAAACATCATGATTCCGTGTGCTTGAGCTAGTTTGGGATTCCTGACCTCATGTGACCTTTAGGAAAAGTCCGAGATTATACAAGTTGTGTTGTGAGACCTCTGGAGGATACTACATCCTGTAAGTTTCATCTCTCTGTGAAAGTTCCTCTGGCACTGAGGATGTTCAAAGTTGTGACATCTGAGGACTGTGAGGAGGTTCACTAATGACATCATAGTTAAGTGACCTGACCTGACCTGAAAATGCAGTTGGTGGCATAAGATGCGGCTTCAATCGAAGGTCAGGAATGCCAAGTTTCAGCTCTCTATGATCTATCACTGTCGTGTTCTGAGCTATCGCAAAAAAAAACTTATGGGAGGGAGGGGGCTGTCTCCTCCCCTCTACTGGAGAGGGTTAAGGCCCCATTTGTGTGGGTGATGGCACAGCACTCACGTCATACTTACGAGCATATTTTGGATACCTCATTTACTGCAGCTTGTGGCATGTCCATTGACTCTGCCATGGTCATCCAGTCAGCTCCTTTTGGCATAATTGTGGCAAGGTCCTTGCTGAAGGAAGAACAGAATTCACCTATGTTTATTGCTTCCCTGCAAAAGTATGGCCTCTGTATTTGGCCCATGAATGGTAGATTGGAATGATCCATTTCTATTGGGATAAGTTTTTTTCAAATCCTGTGAAGAAAAAAGTCAATTAAGAGAAATTAACAAATGATTTAAAAAAATGAATACATTCAATTGCATAACAAGCAGCATGATAATCAAATATTGACTGAAAATCACTAATCCTGAAGGCAAACCAGTCTTAGTCACATTATACAACATCCCTGCTTCAGATAATATCAATTCTTATAATTGTAATAGATATGATTCTGTAAAGAAGCTTGTGATATCCCTCTGCCGTGCTGGGGGTTGAACACCCACTATGTTGGGCAAACTAGACCTTTGGAATCAAAATATGGAGGCATCAAAAGATTGATTCCTTTTGGGCATAAATGCAGACCATTTCTAACCTACCAATCACATAAAAATAAGAGAGTGTTTCAAGAAGGAGCATGCCTGATCTTGGAACAGAAATGCTTGAACTATCTCCTAAGCAAAATAATATTGCTCCTATCATAACAATTTGAATTCTATAGGTAGTGAAAGGTAATCAAGGAATTGATTCACTTTAAACAGATAATCATAATATTGATTCCCCATCAGCTGGCTAATCATTATTTTGATTCACAGGTAATGTTAACAGATAGGCAACAATTACTTGCAAGAATACAGCACTTATCTTGCTATTATTCTCATTTAGTGGTATCCTCAGCACCACAACTGATACCTGTAGCATTGTTGTACTTTACCTTCACTACATTTGATAACAATTCACAATTTTTAAATGTCAAGAATACAAAAACTGAAGCAACAGGTAAAAACCATACACATAATATAAAAGCACTACAACAATGATAATTAGGGGTTTAAAAATTTCATTTTGCCATTTTACACAAATACTGATTGGTTAGTATGTGATTCATGATACAAAAATAACATACAGTGTGATTTCCTCAAAACAGCTTTTACGTGATGGACAGTGGCTCTGTCTTTTTCCCATTCACAAGGCCAAAAGGACAATTTCTTAGCTTTGAGGTAACACTTTTTGCAAACCTACCACATTTTTCTACCTTTTAAAAGAAAAATCTCACCGTCATGGGCCTTTTTTCAACCGTAACGATTCATTTGAAGTCAAAAGTGTACCCAAATGAATCAAAAAATTGATTCCATGCCCATATTTGGTCATGGCTCCTCCCACCAGAATCAAATTATTGATGCCTCCATATTTTGATTCCAAAAGTCTAGTTTGCCCAACTGATATATATTTACTTTTGATCTGCCATACAGAGGGGTAACTAAAAGCAATTCACAAGGAACACCCCTGCGTTTTTTTACAAAAATCATATTCAACTGCTTTTCACTGATAACTTCTCTGACAGGCGCATGCTAGAGCGATGAAAACGCCTTCTACGTGTTATGTTCAATGCTCGACAATACGGATCGAGTCACAGATCGAATGATATCAACCAACTATCAACATAGGTAGTAATTATTTCACTCAATATACCCTGGTAATTACGGCATCCACACTGCTTTCCTATCGGCCTTATATCGGCCTCTATCGGCCTCTTATACGGCCCAAGGTATATAAAAACACTATACGGCCTTGTTTCCTATAGGGCCTTGGCTTTCCTGCTATACCTTCACTAAACGCTGAAAACGTTTAAATATTGTTTTAATATTGTTCTTTTTAGGCCAATGTAGAAAACTCACACCACAAAGGAAGAAATGGGTGCTGTGATTGGTGAAAAGCAGTGGAAAGCAATAAAAACGCAAAAACCGAACACAAACAATTGCTTTTGTACTGCGTCATTTACGAAACTACTGCGCAGGAATGAGAAAATATCGTTATGGTGCATTAAAACACTGCATAAAATAATATGATAAACCGCTGCACATCACCACACCATAAATCTTTGTCACTTTTATTGATTCTGTGATTGCTTCCTTCCGAGCTTGTTCATGTGCGGGTGCATACAATAAGGGTTGGACCTGACTCGATCAAACTACAGCAGACCTTAGCTCATTTATCATCGATCCTTATAGGTTGAATCCGGAAAAGGGCGGGATTTCCAGTCTTGAATTACTTTTATACTACACCTGGGCAGTGGGGAACAACCCCACTAGTGGACCTTCCGCACACCTCTTTTTTAATCTGCTGGTAGACAGACATTCGGCGAATCCGCTGTCAAAGCACTAAGCAGCATATTTGAGGCCGACAATTTTCTGAACCTGCTGCTAATAAAAACATTCGGCGAATCCGCTGCCAGAGCAAAAAGCGAGGAAAAGTGAGAAACAAGAGCCCGTGAGGTGTAAAGATGGAATAATATATTCCTGCCCGGGGCCGGGATGATTCAATAAATGTCACCGAGGTTTTTTAGCGAAAACTCCGAGGGCCGTTAGGCCCGAGGTGCTTTTCGCTAAAAAAGCGAGGTGACATTTATTGAATTCCCGGCCTTAGGGCTGGAAGGTGTTTCCCATACCTGCCAAAAAGCTCACAACTATAATTGATAGTGACGTCAGCAGCCGTGTGGTTCAACGCGTTTAACCACACCCCTTGAACCACACGGCTGGCAATATTAAAGCACTGCATTAAGCTTTGAAAAGTGTGGTACAGTGCACGTGCCATTAAAATGCCTGGATGTCTCGATTTAATCATGCAATGTAGCAGGTATGGGAAAAATGCATGATTCACAGCACAAAATACAACAGATTTGTCAAAATACGATATTCATTTGATGTGGACAAACCACATTGTTTTGTTCGTTGAATGTCCATTCTCGTTTCATTATCAATGCATGAAACAGATAACCTCGTTGGTTATAACGAATAAAATATATATTGGCTGATAGCATGTGTGGTGCGTATCACATAGGTACATGGGCTCGATTCCTAATCACCATTGAATTGGGCACTTTCTAGTGCTCAAAACAAAATTACAATGTCAACAATCGGTTCTCGTCAGCAATACCATCTCTGCATATAAGCCGAAATAGCCAAGATTATGGTATTCATCATATCTAAAAAAAGCCAAGTATTCGACAATGCCGATCACTGCAGCTTCGCACCACCCCACCCACACCAATAAGTCCTTGTACATTGCGTGTCCGTCCGTCCCTCCCGGCGCGCAGCTGTCTCCGGCGGCTGAGGCCACCCGGCCGGATATTTAGCTCGTCACCTCGCTGAAGCTCTCGTACACATTGGCCGCCAGCACCTGCACTTTGCTGTGGTTGGAGAGCATCCATACGAGCGAGTCGGGCCCGGAGCGCAGCAACGTGTGCGGCAGGTTGGTCAGCGCCGGCACCAGCTTGGCCACGGGCAGGGTGGCCGCGCTCGGCGGCACGAAGCCCTCGCTGCCGCCCCCCTGGCCCGAGAACGCGCCCACCATCTGGTCGAGCACGTGCGCCAGTCCGGCCTGGACACACTCGGCCACCAGCTCCTCCGTCTCCGGGTTATCGACCAGGTCGCGCGTCTCGGCCGCCAGCTGGGCGACCCGGCCGCCGGCCGGCTCCGCGGCGCCGCTGTGGGCCGCCCCCGACTCCGGGTAGGCGTACCGCGACAGCCGGATCTCCGGACGCTGCCGGACGGCCGAGCGGGCCCAGCCGAGCAGCGCCTCCACGCCGTCCAGGCCGAGCTTGTCGGTGAGCGCCAGCCGGTCGGCCAGCGGCGCCAGCAGCGGCGCCAGGTCGGCCGACAGCCGCTCCAGGCCGGCCGTCAGCAGGTGCTCCACGCCGGCCAGGTAGCGCTCCTGGGCCGACTCGTCGAGCGCCGCCGCCTCGGCGTCCGCGCCGGGCTCCGCCAGTAGCCGGCGCACGCTGTCCACGTACAGGCAGCCGCCCAGCGCGTGCACGTGAACCTCGAGCAGCACGACCAGGTAGGCGGCGCCGTAGACGGCCGTCACCACGCGCTGCAGCGCCAGCCGCTTCAGCTGCTGCCACACCTGCCGGCCGAGGCACACATTCAGCACACGAGGCATAGGGGAATACACCAGCCGCCGCACAAGCTCTCATAAACGGCCATAGAACACTGCCAACACTCAGCACTGTTATCATTCGACACTTAGCAATTTGTTGGTTGAGCATGAACTGGAAATATTGATTACCAGCACCGAACTAATTTAACGTTAGAAGTTAACAACTGTAAGTTGCAACAACTACCGAAGAAAAATTCGCACAAAACATACACAAGTCATGCGAATCATTGGCAAGAATTGGCGACATCCCTTGTATGCAGTATGCACGGCGCTTCTGACCTGCAGTTTGTCGGGCGCGCCGGCCCGCAGCGCCTCCAGCAGACTGTCCGAGTCGAGCACGCGCGTCAACTGACTCAGCAGCCGCGGCGCCAGCTGGCCCAGGCTGCTCGTACACGTGGCGCGCGTGCTCTCAAAGTGAGCCTGCTTTTTCACCTTCTCCAGCATGCGGTGCGTCTCCCGTTCGCCCCAGTCGCGGAGCCGGCGCGTGGCGTACCACTGGAGCAAGTAGGCGGCGCCGCCCAGCGCGCCCACCGCCAGCAGCTTGTACCGGTGACGGCGCGCAAATCCGCGCAGACGGGACAGCATGGCGACCAACGAGAGCAGCCTACGGGGAGGGACTACCTACTACGGAGCTGACCGGCCCTTTAGATGATGAGGTCGGAGGGGGGCGCCGGGAGCGAGGCCGAACTCAGACCGGCGGACTTCTCCATCCGATTAATGATAAAGTTGGAGGTGTCCAGGAAGCGCTCGACGCAGTTGGTGAGGCACGACTGAGTGCGGTAGTCGAGGCGCGTGCTCGGCCGGTCCACCATGCACGAGTCCCAGCAGCGCTCCGTCAGGCCGTGAACCAGCACCTGGGGACCGGCGACCTGTCAGACCGGCGCCCCGGGACCAGCGTGCTGTCAGACCGGCGCCCCGGGACCAGGGTTTTGACTGCTGCCAGACCAGCGTCAGGGGACCTACATGCTGTCATACCAGCATTAGGGGACCAATATAGTGTTGGCATCACGTTGGCATTGTAACCTCTTTCTGGTCCCGGCGTTTTATTCTCCTGGTGGGTTAACCCCGTCCAGCGTTTAGCCTTTCGGGACCCACTCGGAGCCGCCGTTGTTTTTGCCCCTAGTTGAGTTGAGATACAAAGGTAATAGTTACATGAAACTTATTTAGAGCCGGCCAAACCAGCCTTGAGCGGTGAGCCTAGTCCAGAATCATTGCTAATGTAGTAATGTTTGTACATAGATGAAAGGAAAAGGCTTTGTAGAGTCGATTAATTTCGAAGTCGTATATTCAGTGGCCCTAAATACGTTTCATGTAACTATTAACTTCGCTTCTCGACTGGAGCGAGCGGTGAAAACAACCGCGGCTCTGAGCGGATCCCGAAAAGCTTAATTAACACTGGACGGGGCTAACCAGAGAATAAAATGCCAGAACCAGAAAGAGGCCACAATGCTAACGCTGGACTAACATGCTGTCAGATCAGGGCCTGTGGACCAGCATCCTGTCAAACCAGCCCCTGGACGTCAGAGGACGTCAGTCACTTGACCATATACACAATTGTGTAGCAAAGGCATGATAAACCACTTCAAGGTTTCGGATCTGACTCATCTATCCATAGAGTTATAATTCCAAAAAAAAAAACACCATTAGCTTAGACAGCACAGGCAAGTGGTGAAGGCAAATGGTTAGTTGCATGCATCTTCTATACCTACGTGCCTAGCACAGAATTACCTGAAACCTTTGTTTTTGAGTTTCACCCTCAATAAACCTCTTTAGTTGAGGATCATTAATGCCATTAAGAATGTCTGAAATGCCACTATTCATAGCTTGAGGGATTTCCTAGCCTGGAAAGACAAAAAAACACAACACTCAGTATAGCATATTTTAACCTCAGGAGTCAGGAGGGTCAAGAGCTATTAGTCATCAGTCATTACCTAAAAATTCAATAAGCATGCATAAATGAGCCAAAGGGAAAATTGCCTACAGTGACTATGGAGTGTGAAATGTCACACTATTTAGGGCCACAGTGCCCTAGACTCTAGTAAAACAGATGGTAGTAGATGGTCTTCAGTCTTTGTCTTGGGTTGGGGAGTTACCTTCACAACATTTTGATCAGTTGCTTCTTTGGGTGCCATCAGGTGCAGGTCAGACAAGTAACTGCCTGATAGATGTGAAGTTAAGATCTTAGCTCAAGACAAGGACAGAAACTTTGCCTGTTATCACTTAAAGGTGCTAAAATGTTGGCACAAACATTCTAAAGAATGGACCCAGTAAATTTGTTCTTTTTTCAATTTGAATGCCTTGAATCAAGCATGTCATACATAGTCTTCAGTATTGACCATCATATGAAACAAACAAGGCTTGGCCCCTCACTATAGGTTCACTATGGGTTCGGGTCTCTGTTGAGCGATCCATTTCCCAAAACATAGCTGATGCATGAACAGAGTAGTCAGTCTATTGAAGATAACATAACCCACACACCAGTCTGCAAAACGTGGCAGGGTTCGACGAGATCTCGTCGGGGCAGACACAGTGGGGCGGGGGCAGATATCGGGGCAGCTTTTGAGAAATCGGGGCAGAGTTCGGCAATTCCGGGGCAGACCGTTTGCAGTCGGGGCGGACCGGGGCGGGGTGCACGCTACCGGTGGAAAATAATAAAGAAGCAGAGTATTGTTGAAACGCGCGAGAAAAAGTGAGCTGCGCCACAAACGTCGCTGAAGCGCAGAAATTGTCATTCGTAACTGTTACCATATTCGAGTTTTCCCTTCATCGGGGCTATGAATGTTTTACGCGCCGTGTTTCGTATTAGCAACCAAGGAAAGGCGCTACCCGGAGATACTCCTTTCTAGCCTCACCAAACCAAATCAAACCAAACCGAACCAGACCAAACCTGACCTAATCGAACACTCGTAAATGTGCTGTATAGCCCTCACGATGATTGCCGTCCCCGTCCGGCCAAATGATATCCACATTTCCACTTAGAAACGAACGCGTGCTAAAACGCTTAACTGACCGGCTGCGAACCCGCGACCTACAGATTAAGAGACGAGCGTACTCTGCACACTTAAAACTAAGCCACCAATTATCTGATCATCGCCGAGACGAGGTGTAATATCAGTTTTTCAATGATGCATTGGGGTATTGTCCGAGAAGCGCCTCTCTTTGGTTGCAAAAACGAAATGCGCCCCTCGCTGCCGATTGATTCGACGTTGCCATGGCAACATGAGGCAGTTTTGCACCCCAACTGCGTCATCACCACATTTTAACCGGAACACTAGCCGCTCTATATAATATAACCTTGACCAATGATCAGATCCTTTCGTTTAAAAATTGTTCGAGTGTCATTACCGCGACCGACTTAAATTTGCGCGGGTGATGTATTGATATGAAGTTTTTATGCTATATATAGTACATTTAGGGCATAATCTAACCTGCCCCAATTAGATGCCCCATTTGGGGCAGAAATTCGACTGCCCGGGAGGCTAACTGCCCCATTTGGGGCAGGATTCCGGCTGCCCCAAACACCTCGTCGAGCTGGCTGCCACGTTTTGCAGACTGGCCCACACACTGATATTACAAGGGTGGTTGGATGGATCTTTTTACTTCACGATCTTATCACCTCGGTTGATGACCTTAATTGATTTTTTCAGATTGATTACCTACTTGAGATGGTGAGGGAGATCAAGATAGGTATCTCGTTTCAGTTCAAGTTTCCTTTGCACAGCTCGCATGACTTATTACATAATGACCGAAAGCCAAGTTAAAGTGACCATCCCACCTTAAAATTAGTTTTGAGTTGAGATAGCCAAATTGGTGGCCATGGCCTGCAAATACCAGTTTGGGCACTCACAACATCGAAAATGCTTTAATTCTGAGATATGGAATTTCAAACTTGCAGTTTTCGGTTTCTAAGGGGTAATGCATTGGAATGCCCCCTTAGAATTTGTGACGTCAGCAGAGATCTAACGATTTTAAATGTTTTACTAAAACGTTTGGCAGCACGCAGCGGTACATGCTGTTTTGCACGCAACAAGTGCCGCACTCTCAAATAAAGTCGCTAGGAACAGAGGAGATCCCAAAAGTAAACAAAAGTAAAAGCCTAATATCTTGAAAACCAGTGAATAATTTTCGGTGAAATTTGGTAGATATTCATTTTTAATCTTTCCGAACCAAGGGACATCACTTTTATGCCAATTCATTAACTTTTTTGAAGGTGGGAGGGTCCTATATGGATATAAGTTCAACCAGTACCCAAGATCATACCAGCTCTCACCTATCCCAACAAGTCAAACATTCAATACCTTGTACCTGCAAAAATATTTGACAAAAAACGACCCAAGGCAATAAACGACCTTCTCAAGTTATGCGAGCGGCGGTATTGTCACACCCGTCACACCAGCAACAAAAATGCTGCCAGTACGGTGAAAAAAGTGAGAAAAAGTAGAAAATCCTTTACCACCTTTAACTTTTTCACTAGAAATAAATACTTATGAAACATTTTTTCAATTGTAAATATTTAAAATGTATATATATATATGTTCGAAAATTCATTCAATAGTAAAAAAATGGATTTTCAAATAAAGAAATATTCAAAAATAGAAAAATATCAAGATAAAATTGGCACATTTTATGGAATCAGCGAAATTCCTTTACATTTGTGAAGTAGCTTTTTGAGACATAACCTGCGCTAGAGTTGCACTAGAGCTCGTAAAAGCGTTCAGTGGTAAAAGGCCTTGGGTAATAAAAGATGGTAAAAGTGGTAAAAGTCTTTTTGACGTTTTTATCAAAGATAGGTACCGTGATATGATCTAGAGTTTCTGGTGGTTTCTTTTGGATTTAGACCTAACTGCTAAATTCAGATAGTTTTCAATCTTTCATTTACATTGAAAGTACCTAGTAGAAGATGAGGCTGACGCAAAGTCTTCTTTCGTCCGTGGGAAAGATGACAAAGCTCTACAGTAATTTACCAGAATCCTACATCAAAAGAGCAATGGAAAAGGTAAGATGAAGTCATGCCATAGCTTGGTTGCTAGAGTGTCTGGCTCCCATTGATGAGTGAGAGGCAGTCTCTCAATGAACCCTGGCAAGAGCATGGGTTTAAGTTGCTCAGGTGCACGAGGTACGAGGCTCCTGCCTATGTATCATTCATATAACTGTGTGTATGTATTTACAATCATGAGCAATCTACACATGGCATGGCAATTCCTGCATCTGGTAGATGGTCTTTAGTCAGTGGAATCTGCTACAGCCAGTTGAAGTCAGTTGAATGGAATGGTGTTCAGCTTTGTTTGGCTTATTACACTTAGGCACAAGAGTTTCTTGTTGATTGGCTGGTCTGATTAAATTTAATTAGCCTCAGTCAGGACCTTTGCAAGAATGCATGCTTATCACAATAAGGTTCAGTCATTTATTTGACATGCTTTCAACTTGCAATTTCAACTACACTTGCACTAGAACAAACAGCTCAGCCCTCTGTAGGGACTGGGATGCTGAGGCATCAGCCAGAGAATTGCCAGGGAGATTGGCAAACTGACCTGATAAGGTTAGGCACCTTCACTGGCCAAAACTGACCAAGGATGGCCCTCTGCACCACTTAGGATTCCTGACTAGCCATTGTGCGAACACCCTGGTCAGACCACAGTCCCTGGTTGGACCTTGCCTTTGGCACAATTTCAGGGTGCCTCAGGCACTCAGCAGATGGACCTTAACCATTTACTCTTGTGAGGGCGAGTGGTTGGCTCTGTTCTGTCTTTGATTTGCAGTCAGTTACATTGACTCCATGTCTGACCAGCATCACCCACACAAATCTTCTGTTTGAGATCTTTGCACTAAATCAGTGAATTTATGCAAATTCTCTTCTGTGCAACTTTTTGCCGACCAATCTATTTCCACTTGCTACACTACACGTAAACCTCATGACTTCATGACTCCCTTCATCCTGCGCAACTGTTATGCTGTTATCAGTCACCACTCACCTAGCTCAGTTAGTGGAGCATCGGACTCCCGGTAGTGAGGGCCCGGGATTGAGTCGCTCCGGCATCCGACATTTGAGACTCTTGCTGGGGATGGTCTGCAGTTGGTGGGAGCAGCCGCAGCCAGTTGAAGTCAGTTGAGTGGGACAGCCCGTGTGCGGCTTTGATGGGCACATTAAACTTTGGCATCTAAATTATCCTGTTACCCGGACTTGCGCCATCGGACGGTAGGAGTCTGGATCTGCGCAACAAGCACAGCTTAGCATGGGCTCCGGCTCTGTCAATCCGTCCATTCAAACATTCGAGCTAGATAAATAAAAAAGAGTCGTAGGCTACAGTCGACCTTTCAACTCTGGGCAGTGTTGATTCAATCTGAGTGCCGTGTTGCCAGGGCAAGGTGGGCTGGAAGACCCCGCGGGCGGTGCAGTACCAGCCGAAGGAGATTAAGAAGAAGCACTACCGGTTCACAATGAACCGTCCTTGGACGGACGAGTTCGCCCGCCAGAACCAGGTGTCCAGGAAGAAGGTGTACGTGAAGCCCATCCCGAAATGGAGCTACTTCCGCGGCGACATGGTAAGAGGGGATGAGCTGGAGTAACACGCTGGACACTTTTACCTTTAGTTTGTATATTGTTTACCCACCAGGTTAGTCCGGAATCATCTAACTATATCGTAAGATATAGGCGCCGTAAGATTTCATTTCTAATTCTGGAAGCCTGTGGAGTGTGGAGTGAAGTGAGAACATGGTTCCTGGTCGCCATCGGCAGGCGACACTTGTATATATTTGGCCGGTAATTAGTTCCACCGCTCTCCGCCAGGTGGAGGTGCTGGTCGGGAAGGACAAGGGCAAACAGGGCACCGTCAGCCAGGTGATCGAGGAGCGCAACTGGGTGGTGGTCGAGGGCCTCAACGCCCACTACCGACTGGTGGGTAAGACGGCCCAGTACCCGGGCACCATGATCGCCTCCGAGGCGCCGCTACTCGTCGACGACCAGGTGGCGCTGCTCGATCCCGCCGACAAGTGAGTGACTAGACGGGGGGGGGGGGGGGGGGCGAGGTATCACGTTACTCGTAATAAGTGTCTGCCGCGTCTGACCTGCCACCCCGTGTCCACGCAGAAACCACACTAATTTATCCGCCATTTCCGTTGTCGGACGTTAGTTTTATCCACCTTTCGTGTCGGCGGTAAACGCTTACTGCATTATGCAGTAACGACTTCACTGAATTTGTAATACGCAGTAACGCCCTGCCGTGTCTGCAGTAACGACCCCGGTCCTCAGTACCCCCCTCCCCCGCCGTGCGCTCATTAGCCATCCCTCTGCTCCGTCCCATCCTCTATCCCATCCCATCCCATCCCTCCATCCCTCAGTAACCGTCGATCTGTGCCCTTACCGTTCCCCCCGCTCCACAGCAACCGTCGATCTGTGTCCTAACCGTTCCCCCCGCTCCACAGTAACCGTCGATCTGTGTCCTAACCGTTCCCTCCGTGCCCACAGTAACAGTCGATCTGTGTCCTAACCGTCCCCCCGCTTCACAGTTAACCGTCGATCTGTGTCCTAACCATCCCCCCGCTCCACAGTAACCGTCGATCTGTGTCCTAACCGTTCCCTCCGCTCCCCAGTAACCGTCAATCTGTGTCCTAACCGTTCCCCCGCTCCACAGTAACCGTCGATCTGTGTCCTAACCGTTCCCTCCGTGCCCACAGTAACAGTCGATCTGTGTCCTAACCGTCCCCCCGCTTCACAGTTAACCGTCGATCTGTGTCCTAACCATCCCCCCGCTCCACAGTAACCGTCGATCTGTGTCCTAACCGTTCCCTCCGCTCCCCAGTAACCGTCAATCTGTGTCCTAACCGTTCCCCCGCTCCACAGTAACCGTCGATCTGTGTCCTAACCGTTCCCTCCGTGCCCACAGTAACAGTCGATCTGTGTCCTAACCGTTCCCTCCGTGCCCACAGTAACAGTCGATCTGTGTCCTAACCATTCCCCCCGCTCCACAGTAAGCCGTCGATCTGTGTCCTAACCGTTCCCCCCGCTCCACAGTAACCGTCGATCTGTGTCCTAACCGTTCCCCCCGCTCCACAGTAAGCCGTGCACTATCGAGTGGCGCTACAACGAGTCGGGGGAGCGGGTTCGCGTCTCCACCCGGTCCGGTCGCATCATCCCGACTCCCACCCAGGCCGAGGAGACCTACGACTACAAGACGGCGGCCACCTACCGCGAGAGTGAGCGAGATACCAAGGAGGACGACCTCACCATCATCTCCTTCAAACCCCAGCTGAGCACGTTCGAAATGGATGTGGCAGAGAGTATGGGCATTGAGCTGGGCCCCCCGCCGGCCGAAACACACTGGTATTAGTTGGTGGGCGATCAAGGACGCTCGGGTTTGTGTGTGTGCGTGTGAGGGTGCGGATGTGTGGGTGAGGAACTGGTCTCTGTTTGGGCGTGGGTGGTTGTAGTAGTTACTGCTCAGAGTTGGAATCATGTGAGCAATTTTGCCGTTATGATGATGTCTGTGTCACTGATGAATGCAATATAGTGTCGTCTATTTGTAATAAGTTCTTTTGCAATTACCTGGGTAGATAAGATAAACATACGCAAGCCGTTTGCAATATTGATACCAATAGCAATGGTATCGATAGTAAGCCGTCGAAAAGAAAAATTGTATCATTTTAAAGCATATTGTTTCTCTTCGTTGCATTGTTTCGGCGTTGCTTTCTGATTATTCGTTGCTTTTTCACAGGCCTCGTGTCTCGCAAACACGGATGGATGGATGGTTGGGCTTTCTCCGATAACACGAATGTTTGACGATATTGGCTCGAAGACATTTATTCCGGTTTCGAAGCGTCCCCTGTATGTATTTGGTCAGCGGTTTCGATTTGTGTCTTTGCATCCACCTCGTCTAAAACACCGTCTGGTTGACTCAGTTTACTCGATAATAAGGCCATGACTGGTGCCGCCACGGCTCACATAGATATAACAAACAATATATTAGTAACCCGAGTGGTGCTCTGGGCGCTCCGCTGCTCTGTCGCTCGCCCTCTGCTCTGTCCCGGCGGTGCAGGGCCGAGCGGTGCGCTATATCATTGGCACCTAGACGCATGACGGTACCGACGGCATCGGCCGGCTCCTCTCACTCTCCACTCGCTCACACTCGCTCACCATCTCACTCACCAACTCACTCGCACGCACAGTTCTGGGTACATCCCCGGGGCGCAGTTCAACCATTGTCTAATCGTCCCGCCTCGATATGGCCCGAGCTAGTGGCTCGCCTCAGTCTCTGTATAAGGATTTGGCGGAGTATCCTGCCCTGCTGCTGTTGCTGTTGCTGCTGCCTTTCCGTTGCCCCCAGCCTGGCCGACGGGCGGTCACTGCTGGGTGGGCCGGCACCGCCCGCTGTCTGATGGTTCAGGAGGTCTCGGCGGCGCCGCAGAAAGACGTGACTGGCTGGTGGACGGGCTGCGAGGGCTCGCCGTGTCCCGGGCGGAAGCTTGGTGTCACTGCTACCCAGGGTCACTGGCATGAGGTCGTCCACACGGCCGATCTTTGTTGTCCTCCCAGCGCAGGGTTTCGACAGGCTCCATGGCGGAGGGCACGGGGAACCGGTAAAGGCGTCCCTAATTGAGCTCTGTGCGGCCGGCTGCACGAGCAAGCAGCTCACACTGGTCCCCAGTGGTTGGGCGGAGTATTGGACTGACACGCGGCGGTGCACTGGGAGTGTTCTCAGACCGCCCGGCACAGTTCCGCGGGCGCCGCCGGCCGGCTGTCCCCGCCCGCTCCCTGCTCTGTCCGTCCCCCGCCCTCTGCTCCGCCGGTGGGGCGGAGCGGCATCACAGTTCGAATTGAGCACCGGCGCCGCGCCGAGTGGCCGCCGCACTAGCTGTTTATGTGTTTATCGATCCAGTCCCTGTAATAGGGCATCCTCATGTAGATGCCGGGCAGGTTGGGCTTGGCGCACTCGATGCCGTGCGAGACGGTTCCGGCGAGCACCCAGCGGCCGTCCCCTCGGGGCACCACCAGCGGCCCGCCAGAGTCGCCCTGGAACGCAGATAGAGGGAGGTGTCAGAAACGGCTTAGGTACCAAAGACGACAGAGGGAAATAAATCGACACAGAGACACAGATGGACACACGGTTTGACGCGGATAACACTGGTCCTGAGGTCCTGTGATGAGAACTCGCTTACTAAACCTTACCCACCCGAGCTCTTGATGCATCAGCAGTCCAGACCAGTGCAGTGCCCAGTATCACAGTGACCCAATACCAATACCCAGTACCCACGTCCCGCGCCCCCACCACGCTCACCTCGCACGAGTCCATGACGCCGTCTTTGAAGCCGGCGCACAGGAAGCCCTCGCGGATGGTTTTCGAGCGTCCCGACTCGTCGAACCACGCCTGGCACTGCTCGTTGGTGATGACTCTCACTCCGACCTCCATCAGCTTGGAGGGCACGTCGCCGCCTGCCGACAGACGCCACTCGTCACCTCACCATGTTTGGGGTCAGCAGGTGGACGGCTAATGCGCCCTAAATGTTTCCGCGGCGTGACGCTCGTGCTATTCACAGCAAATCATTTCTGCGCGATTACACTCCCTAGATATTCGTCCGCAAAAGTTGGCCGTGGACGTGATTGCGCTGGGAGGCTAAGCTCCGCAGCGTGGTTATTAAAGCCTCGATTGGCTTTCTCCGTGACCTTAATCCTGGCCTGCGCTGACCGAGGGCAGCGACCGTACTATCGTATACCCGTCCCCAGCCGACGTACCGTAGGAGGTGCGTCCCCAGCCGGTGACGGTGGCCATGCGGCCCTCGAAGCGCTCGTTCTTGCCCGGCAGGCAGATGGGCACCACGTGCTCGTCGAAGGTGACTGGCTTCTCGAGCTCGAGTAGCGCCAGGTCGTTATTGAAGGTCTGCCGGTTGAAGCCCTTGTGGACGATGATGCGGCGAATGTTGCGCTGGAACGACGCCTTGGGCTCGTACGTGGCGCTCAGGTCGTTCTCGCCAAATACGGCGATCAGCGTACCCATGAACCTGTGGAAGCGCAGGGAGGTCGGTGAGACGGCGTCAGTGGGGGCGGAGGGAAGCTAGCGCTGGGATGCCTTGCCAAGCTTGCTGCCAAACCGGTGGCTGAATGCGTGGAATTGTGCGACAAGCGCAGCGGATAGTGCCAAGCTGGAGCGAGCAGCACTGACCGTGATGTCTGTTTGACGGCTTACATACTGTGTAGATTGTCATTTGGTGCACACCGCCCTGTCTGCCTCGCTGTTGCCCGAGGCCCGGGAGCGTGTCTGTGGTGAAACGGGGCGCAGCTGCTGCAGCGGAAGTCCAACCCTTTCACTCTCGTCTGTTTCACGTCACTCTCCCTCTGATTCCCGGTCCCGATTTCTCACAATGACTGTCTGACAATCAGCCGGAAAATAAACTATCAGCTCCAGCTTCCTCTACCTACCATGCTCCCGGCTTGCACTATGAAATCCACTACACGGTGACAGGCCACTGAGTCACCTCCCAGATTGTATGATATTAGCCCCAGCTCCGTCCTGCGGCGACTCACCCTGGCTGACAGTGGGCCGCCGTCAGCACGTAGCGGCTGTTGAGCAGCACGCCGCCGCACTTGTTCTTGGTGAAGAGGCCGAGGAAGGTAGCCTCCTTGACCATCACCTGCCACGGCCAGGCGCCGAAGTAGGCCGGCTCGCCGCCCACGATCCGGATTCCCTGTCGGCGCCGGTCGGCCGAGCTGGCCGGCTGCAGGCTGCGCCCCAGCGCGCTGCGCCCCAGCGCGCTGCGCCCGGACGCCAGCGGGATCACTCCGCAGTCTGGGGGAGGGAGGGGAGGTCAGGTCAGGTCAGGTCACTGCGGCGGACGCCAGGGGGATCACTCCGCAGTCTGGGGGAGGGGAGGAGGTCAGGTCAGGTCACTGCGCCCAGACGCCAGCGGAATCACTCCGCAGTCTGGGGGAGAGGAGGGCAGGGTCAAGTCACTGCGGCGGACGCCAGCGGGATCACTCCGCAGTCTGGGGGAGGGGAGCAGTCGGGTCAGATGGCTCAGATGGTCGGCGGCGCGAGACCGACGGGCTACTGAGATCCGACGGGCTCAGCTGCTGAGGGGTAAACGGTGTATGGAAAACGAGTGATCATCAAGCTGCAGTTTAAGACATTGACTTATCGTAAAACCTTTCTAGCCATACGCTCGACCGTGCACTCATCCATTCGACTAGTTTCGGAGAGTTCCAAATCCTATTCGACTCGAGTCCCGTTTACTCACGTTTCTTGTAATCCCACTTCTTCGTCGGCTTCTTTGTCGTTGTAGTTGTGGTGGTGGTGGTGGTCGTTGTGGTGGTAGTCCTCTTCGTCGTTGGTTTCTTTGTAGTTGTCGTAGCCTTTGTTGTTGTAGTGGTCGTGGTCGTTGTTGTTGTGGTTGTTGTCGTTTTCCTTGTTGTCGCCTTTGTGGTAGTTGTTGCCGGGGTGGTGGCCGGGGTCCGGTTCGCCACGCCGGCGGACGTCACCGAAGACCACGTGACCAGGCCGGCCGGGTCGGGCAGCGGCCGGGCGGTGGTCGCCGAGGCCGCCACCGCCTGCGCCACCGCCGACTGGTTCGGGTCCAGCTTACAGCAGGCGCCGAACATGAACCGGTCGATACACGTGTTGATCACCAGACCCTTCTGCTGATAGCACTTGAAGTTAAACATGCACGTGCCGTTCTCTCCTTTTGCGTTGGAGCATGGCAGTGGCCGGATCTCGAAGGTCTGTGATGCCGATGCTATCCTCCGCTGGTGCTGGGCTGTGAACAGACGGAGCGGGGTGTTATTGGAAGCAGGTGGCGCTGCCAGGAACACCGATCACAGGTGGCGCCGGCTGTACGAATCAAGCCACCGAGACAGCTATAAACGAGATTGAAGTCCAAGAGGTAACGAGTAACGACACAAGAAGGAACACTCAATGTGAGCAATCATCGTTCGTAATTTCGTTCATCTGTGGCATATAGGGCAAACATTTGTTAACTTTCATTGAGCTCGCTGACGTCTATTCTGCGTTCCTTTTGATCAAAGTCGAGACTGGTTTTGGATAGGACAAATCGAGAAGGATCGATGACAATATCGGCGAGTGCACCCCAGAAGCCGGCAGTGACAGTTGTTGCCATTACGTTTCCCCACTCTGGTGCCGGGGGCGGTCGGTGACGGCGTCACGCTGCCACCACACCCACCCACCCCGCCCAGACCACCTGGCCGATCGGGTAGCGCCGCCGGCCGCTGTCGAAAGCGAGACGGACGCCGTGATTACCCGGCGCCCATTGTCGGCACGGCCACTTTCAGCGCGCTGCCCGTGCACCCGCTTGCCGGAGTCGACGGCGGCGTGGCGACCGACCCGGCGGGCGCCGCGGGACACCCCAGCCCGCGGCACCAGGCCCGCGGCTTTCTCTCGGCGTCCGCAGTCATTGGTGCTGACGGATTGGTCACTGGCAGGCGCCTTCAGACGTGCTATATTCGGCAAGTGCTTTGCAGTGCAGCGTCGTCAAGCATTGGTATTAAAAAGGGATTAAACACAGATGCATGTTTATTTCCC